CAAATTCTTCCACCAGCTTTAAAGGGAAGTACAGCAAGAATAACCATTTACAGAGTATCCTCCATGTGAAAGGGCCCATTTAAGGCACTTTTAAAAGGTGGTCTCAATCCTAACCCTGCGAGGTGTATATTATTATACAAAGTGTGATAAAAAAAATGGTGAATGTTTAAATTTTTTTTAAATGTATTACAGTAAAAGACGCATTGCCATTAATCCCCCTCAAAATACTCTTTTGCCTCAAACACACTTATTCCATCATTCTTGCCACTTCCTGAAGCAGTTCTGGAAGTCCTCTTTCATGAGTATCTTTAGTTGCTCTGTCATGGCTGCCTCGATGTCCTGAATCGTTTTTACTTTGGGGAAGAGCCAGAAGTCACATGGTCCCAGATCCAGTGTATAAGGGAGATGAGGACACAACGTAATGATTTTATTTGACAGAAATTGCCGTATACCAGAAGCGATGTGTGACACGGAGCATTTCCGTTGTGATCACAAACTACGGTGAATGCTGCAGCCGAGTGCCATCTAGCAGAAAGGCAGGGATCTTCAATATGGGAAGGGGCGTGTTGAACCTTAGTAACAGTGTGTGACAAATTTCAACTTGTTTGGTGCAGTCAGGTATGAGCTACGGTTGAGAGAAGGTGTGTTTTCAAGTGTGCCGTAACTCACCCTCCATCACGACAATGCTCCGTGTCACACATCGCTTCTGGTATGGCAATTTCTGTCAAATAAAACCATTACGGTGTGTCCTCATCCACCTTAGTCACTGAATCTGGCACTGTGCAACTTCTGGCTCTTCTCCAAAATCAAAATGACTCAGGACATCGAGGCAGCCATGACAGAGCAACTAAAGATACTCATGAAAGAGGACTTACAGAAAGTGGCAAAAACAATGGGATAAGTGTGTTTGAAGTGAGGGGGAGTATTTTGAGGGGGTTAATGGCAATGTGTCCTTTACTGTAATAAATTTTTTTATTTAAACATTTGCCATATTGTCTAAACATACCTCATACCTGCTTTAAAATGAGGAAACTGACTCAGATATGCAAAGTATCTGGCTCAGCAAACAGGCAAAGCAAGACTGGCATCCAGTGTGTTCCCCACATTCTGTGCATCTGTGTGGTGGGCACACTGCGGTCAGCCAGCATTCCTCTGCCGTTCCAGACTACCATCGTTCCCATCCGCCCCTAAACAGTAACCGAGCTGAGTGCCCGCCCACAAGCCTTTGCTGTCCTGTGCCCACCTGGAGTGTAGCATGCTCGTCTGCCTCTGCCCTTCCAATCCCAGTGGGAGTGTTGTCCCTGGAGGATGTATTTCACTTAGCAACCCTGATCCTTTTGCTGTGAGGTTTTTTATGCTTATATCTGCCATCATCCTATTGAGCAATGGCTTGTTCTCATTTTTATGTGCACTCTGACTTTCTGGTGATAATGTCTTCACAGTAGAAGAGTTAAAGGTATGGAATATGACGATATAATTGGATATAGCCAAGCAGCAACATTTCCTGATCAGCATGTTAAAAAATAAGGTACGCAATCCTTTTTAAAAGTATAAACACTGTTTTACCTATGAGCATGTTTTAATTCAGCTATTTACGAGTATAAAAAAATAGTCTGCAAACCTTGCTTGAATCAGGAACTGTCAGCTGTAGTGTTTACTGCAAGCATCTCTTAGCTGCATGGCAATTTTATTCTATATGTTTTCACCAAAAAAGCATGTGCTTAAATGCAAGATTCTCTTTAGTACAACAGAAGTAAGATTTGCCTGGAGTCTAATTTAATTATAGTGAGACAGAATGTGTTCAGGCATG